ACATCCTTTTTACAGATCTGACTTACTTGGATACAGATTGTTGGTTCCTTGTTGTCTCTCAGGCAGATGCACTCTGACTTCGAAGTGACTTTAAAGGAAGCCCTGAGTTAGTTGATTCTATGACATGCTTGTTGTAATGTGGCAGTGGGTGTGTTCTTGTTTTCCCCACAATGGATCTCCAGAGCCCACTCGTGGAGCTGACATTTTGACTTGTTGGCACCTTTCCATGTTTCCCCCCGATAATGGTGTTATAGGTTGAGTGTGACTGGCAAGACACACTTGCATTAAAAAAAGTCTGGGTCAGTTCCCCGAGCTTACTTATAGGATTTCAGGATCATTGTGAAATTACGGAAAATGTAATGGTACGGACATGTAATAAGATCTTTCAGTCTCTCAGAAACAAAACTACAGGCTCAGGAGAGGATAAGAGGTAAAGCAAGAATCAGTTGGATAGGGAACCTGACTGATTGATTGAACAGGCCTTAGACATGCAGCCATGAAGTATATTGCATCTGACTGTCTGTCATAGGTAGAAGAAGGTGATCAGACAGTCAGCAACAACTGGTGATCCACTGAAACACAGTGTTATGGTATGATGATGATGTGAAACACTGTTACCGTCACATAAAGTTAGTTACTGTGATTTTTCTCAGTTGCTCAGCTCTTAATCTATCTGCATTTGTTTTCACTTTTATCCCTTTTGAACTTTTTCCTTTCTAATAATTCAACACAGTAAATGGCAACCTGTTTACTGTAATCCTTGAATCTGCCCCAGTACCTGTCATTTTGACTATTAATACTGAGTCATTCACTTGAATGTTCTTCACTTGGCTGTCTTCTCGTAGAGCATAATGGATAATGTCTGCTCGATCTGTGGATTAACTCAGTGAGACGCAGCACTGGCTCCAACCTATCTGGTCTTTATGAAAAATGCATTTCCTGAGTGTGAAGGTTAATTGGGTTCTTATCTTTCAGAGGTTAAATAAAGATGCTAACTAGTAATAGTAGCACACTGCTCAAGTAAATGATCACTTTTCTTTAGTCTGAGGAAATAATTAACACCATTTGTGATATAATGCAGTTATATATTAATTTGAAAGATTTGAATAGATTTATAATTTAATGAGAATACAAAATCTACCCATTAGTTGATCATGTTATTTTGTGTGGATGGAATCTGTCAATAGGATGTAAAACTTTGACTCTCAGTAATTGTTCCAGGTCCACTTTTTTAGGAGAAAAAATAATAAACCTTCAGCCACCCTCAAAGGTTTATTGTATCTTCTTTTTCTTCACTTCCTCTTTCACCGCTTCGGGTATCAAAGGAGATATAAGGTTCTTCTGCTGGCTTTTCTTGCCACCTCAAACATAGACACATCTTGCTGTTTTAGAGTTTCTCTGATATTGTTTTCTATCTGGTTCTTTGTTAACATTGTGCTCTTTGTCCACATCCGCTTTGGTGTATGTTTGTATAGTATGGTGTGACATGACATTCTAAGTGGGCAAACTATTTGATTTGCTGTCTTTTTATGTAATTTAGAATTGGTTTTTGCTGACATTTTTTTAATGACTTTTTTTCCCCACGGTTATCAATTTTCTTTTCTAGTTTGTTGTGAGCGGCCATGTCTGGCACTGGTAGCATAGAGTTGGAATGAATCTGCTTTGTATATGTTTTACTCTAGATTTTACTCTGAATGGCTTGTTGTTTAAGGAGACTAATTAAGGGTTTGATGAAATTTGATGTGTTGGGCTGAAAGGTATCAGCTTAAATACATGCAACATTAGTAGTAGTGAGGTACAAGACACCTCTTATTCCAAATCTTTTCATTTAATGACTCCAAAGGTTTGTAGGTCTGCCTGGATAATTCTCCATATCCTACTGTTTATTAAAATATAACTAAATATGTGCACCTGGATCATGGTGTGAGCTGCTTTGTTCGTTGTCTGTCTTGTCTATCCTTACAGCTAAGCATTGATGACTAAAATTTTGTTGCAAAATTAACTAGTATGCTTATATTTTTTTCAGGATGCATTTGTTGAGTATTTTCCTGATCATGGAGAATTTGAAGAAAAAATGTGGAAAGGTGTTTTATTTGCAACAATTGGACTTGGAGCTTTAGCCACTGTTGTTGCAACCAGATAAAAGCTTTCCTGCCTCCGCTGTTTGTTTTGGTTTTGAGCATTGAGTTGGAAAGAACAATTACAGGCGTAATGTGATCTCTTTATTTTTTTTTCTTTTGATATATACAATTTCACAGTGAGTCATTATGGAGGTTTGCCTAAATATTTGACATTTGTGTCTTGTTTATCCAAAAAGCAATATTGCTTATCTGTGTGGTAGAAGTTGATAAAGGATTGTCAATGTGGATTGTTTCAGTTCTGGTACAACTTTTGACTCTTAATTTATAAATTCTTCTCCAGATTCTTTGATACTTCATATAACAATGTCATCCATCGCTGGGCTCTCATTCAGGAGACCCAGGGTTCCAAGTGATGGATGTTTTTCCTTCACAGAGACAGTTATGATCAGTGTTATATCACCTTGTCTCTGATAAAATACTGGATTCCAACATTTCCTGAGGGTTCTTATTTGTTTTAATATACAGCTTTGGGTTTGACACAGACTGTTCGGTTATGGGGGTGGGGGGGGGGGATAGACCCCTGCCCTAATAAGCATATGCTGAAAGGATACTTTTTAAGAGAGCGGAAATTTGATGTTAGTGTTATGCCAAAAGGCGCATATACTGTAGCCTAGAAGCAAACAACATATTTAAGGGCCAAAATATAAGACGAAAACCAATTAGCCAGGTGTCATGGATGTGTAGGGGTGTCATGAGCTACCAGTGTTTTGAGTTCTCATTAAATGTCTTTGTGCGAGGCATCCACAGTTCAGTGTTGAAAACTTTGAATGAGGGCACGGTATTAGAATCTGAGACATAATGAGAGATGAACACAGTATAAGCATGTTTAAATGTTATCTACTTGAACGCCAGAAGTTTTGTTACGTAACAAAGGTTTTTGGCTTTAAAAACTAAGGACTGGATAGGATTTACAATTTTAAAAAGGGAATCACTTTCATAAGAGAGGAAATTGAAAAAAGGGAGGGGGGGGGGAGGTGTGAAATAAAACAGATTTTAAAAATTATCTTAAAAAAGATATCATATTAAAAGCATCAATAGCATAGCAAATAACAACATAAATGAATAATGTATGTATCATGTATTATATATATATATATCATAATCCAAAGTATGTAAAATAAACTTACAAATTAAAAAAAAACGCTCCATAAATTACTCCCAGTAAAAAAAAAAAAAATACTATCCTTGTTCACAAATAATCAGGATGTATGCATTGATTATTATGGAAAACTAGGTCTGATATGAAACTAGTTTCCATTCTAAGCACTTTGTGTGAATAAACTGACAACATGCCAGATAAACCGACAACATGCCTGATAAACTGACAACATGCCTGTATGGGTTCCTGAGCTGCATTGTGGGAGGAAATAGATTGACTCACTGCCTCCCATTAGCATGTCATACAAGGCAAGTAATTAGGAGTTTGCTGAAGTAGGGTATGTTGAGTCAAATAGCATGGATCAGTATCCACTGTTGTGAACCACAGTGCCAGGCACAGTCACCCTTTTAAGGGCAAACTTGGATGAAGAAGAAATTTTGCAGAAATAATTATAAAGATTTAAAAATTGTCATGCTTTTTAGGATTAATTTTACCTAATGATTGTCTTTTTATTTTGAATTTTTGTTTCCCTAGAAATGTCAGCGTGTAATACAATAATTTAAAATAAAAAGGAAAATATTAAGTGAACAATATGAATAACACATAGCCTGGAAAGTCTGCAGCATTGTAATTATTTGTTGTGGAGTGGACCTTTTCTTAGTGTCTGGATTTCTAATTGCAATAATCAACAATTAAGCAAGGCAGACTGTGAGAGGGATCATGCTTCATTGGCAACACCTAGTCTCTCAAAAATACTGTCCTGATGTTTTTTGCTCGGGAAAGAAGGAACTTCCATCCATAAACTGTTTGGGCCATGGGCTGTGGTTTCCTTGCATCTCTAAAACAAAATATATAGTGCAGACCCCTTAAGGTGATATCATTTGTGGCAAATTTCTATTTTGAAGAACTGTTTATCCCTGGCAATTTTTCTTTGCTTGAATTCTTATGTGGATAAGAGGATTTTCTGGCAAGAAGAACTATTTCTTGGGTTTCAAGTGAGTTCTCCTAATCAGATCTGCACTGTAACACTATCATTTGGAAAGATAGGTGCCAACAACATATCTACAAATTTGACATTTCCAAGTTTAAATATCAGTGCTATCACAGACTCACATTTCTGTTGAACAATAATTTCAAATCGATTATTTTTAAAATATATAGTTTGTGTTCTTTAAGCCAGTTTCTTTTTGTTTCTTGAACATCTGTTGTTCACTTTTTGTAAAACTGTGTAATAAAACTGCTGGCGCTCAGATAGGCATTCTGAATACTGTTTTGTTTTCTTCTTCTTCTGCATTCACCAGATGTGAACACTGGCAAAAAGTCCTTGTTTGTTATATGTATCCAGATATTTATGTTCCAGGAATTTTGGGCGACATATCCATTTACCTGTTCTAGCTTATTGTGTGCAGTGTGTGGGTTCCTCGCCTCTCAAGCAAATTAGCTTCAAATTTGAAGACAGTGTCAAGCCTGTCTATCAGTCCTGTAGGGAACCTGTTTCTATTAAGATCTTTCGTGGAACCTTAGGACTTGATCAGTAAGAAGATTTGGTCCAGGTGGACTGCCACATGTGGCAATGTACCTCTTCATCCATTACTGTGCTAATGTCTCAGCTAGAACTTCTATCTCACTACAGGATAATTTCAGTGGTACATTTAATTTATTCGTGGAACAACTCTCTTCTTATCCACTTTTGTTTGTGTTTGCATGTGTTCTGAACTAAAGATTTTGGTTGTAAATAAGTAGTTATAAATAAACAATATCATTGACATTTGCACTGAAGTCTTAAGCCAGTTTTGTATTTATTGGTATAGTTGAATATAGTACTTATTATTAATAAGTACTCTCATATTATCCTCATCATGTAATTATGTAACAAAGTATGTGTAACTTTAGTGCAGTGGTAAACTGTGAAAGACACTTGACTGACCACATTAAATGAATATGAAAAGAAAGGCCCTCTTGTTTACATTTCAAGAAGGTATCTTTACTACTTAACTCAGGTCATTTCACCAAACCTCATTAAAATAGACCTCGTAATGACAAGGCAGATAAATTGGAAAGGGCGGAATCAACACATAAGCAGCCATGCACAAATAGTTTAAGATAAATTGATATAGGCAAATAAATGCTGTGCAGTACTTCATGTATTGAGTGAGTCCAGTATTAGAATATCTGAAGTTGGTTCGTTGAAAGCCATTATGTCCCTGTTGGGAATGCCCCAGATGATTTCCTAATAATCATACATGTGATTATTATAGACTGGGTATATGGGATGTGCATGCCTGAGTGTGAAACAGATGGTAGCACCACACTGAGCTGTAGAATATCTTGTAAAAATAGCTTGGAAAGTTTAAGCTGGGCAACACTTGCTGAATACAGTCAGATGTAATTTCTGAAAATCATAAATATAGCATTTTATGTGTACACAGATACTACAGCTAACCAGCCTAGTAAATGGTGAAAAAGAAATTAAAAAAAAATTAGTTTAAACAGATGAGTAACTAGAAATTTATAGACATATTTCCCGCCTTAACCTAAAGAAGATATTCCATCTGGCAAGGGAGGATCAGAGCAAAGGTTTCTGACATCAAATACATCTTTTAAAACATGCCTAACAAGAAGATGGAGATGACTTGGACATGATTGCAGAATACCTAATGACACTTTGGTAAAGATCGCTCTCCAGCAAATGTCAGAAGGAATATGAGACATGGATGACATAAGGAAACCTGGAGAAAATAGAAAGCAAAAGGAAGGAGTGTAAACTGACATTGGGTACCATAGGCAGAAAAGCCCCAGACTGGTAGCAGTGATCGCCTCTGAATGCCTTATGTGCCAACAACTGCGTGAAGAAAGTATAGATCTCTAGCAACAGAATTAACTACAGAAAATGTCAATGTCTTTTTTCCCCTGCCCTGGTACAAAAGAAACACTGGCATTCAAATGTATATGAGTAAAGGAGCATTGGTGAAGAAGTGAGATTTCTTTTGGAGGACTGTGATAAGAGTGATTTTCTGCAAACTACCTGCTACATAATAATTATGATTCAGAACTACTGAATAACACATCTTTGGCACAAACAAGAGAACTGATTTTTAGTGGGCTATAGCTTCACAGTTGTTTCATGTTTGTGCCTGGATATGCACATATAAGAGAAAACAGGCTGGTAGGGTGGGGCTGCTGTGGATAGTGGAAACACATTAGACGAGTTGAGCTTTTAAATACTGCCAGAGCTGTGGCAATTACATGAGTCAAATGAAGACATGAATCAGCCAGCTAAACCAGGCTGCAAGAACAGAAAGTCAGAAGGGGTGAAGCTAGACAAGAGGGACCAGGAAAAATGGTTAACCAACACAGAACAGGCATTGTCAATTACTATATGTCCTCAGAAAGCCCAAAGAATTACATAAATCAAATTATGAATGAATCAGTGTCCTAAACCAGGCTGCAAGAACAGCAAGTCAGAAGGGGTGAAGCTAGACAAGAGGGACCAGAGAAAATGGTTAACCAACACAGAACAGGCATTGGCAATTACTATACGTCCTCAGAAAGCCAAAACAATAACATGAATCAAATGGTGAATGAATTAGCAACCAAAACCAGGCTGCAAGAACAGAAAATTAGAAGGGGTGAAGCTAGACAAGAGGGACCAGGGAAAGTGGTAAACCAACAGGGAACTGGTATTAGCAGTCACTGTATGCTGAAGGATATACTGAGGAAGAGATGATCAAATGTAGACCCATTTGTTTAATTTGCAATAAAAATGATCTGTTGAATAATCAATATTTGAGTGCTCATTACTTGCAGTAAAAGCACATCATAACAACATTTATTTCTCTCTGGTTTCACTGTGTGTTAGAATTAATCTGTTTAAGTTCATCCTTTGTTTTTGACAAATGGAAG